GGCGGTTACAAATATTGTTTCTTTTTTACTTAATTAGTTTGTTTGAAAAATATTTTTTTTAATTATGGATTTTTTAACCTTAATATTTTTTTATGATTATTGGCAAGTAGCGTTAGACGTGTGTTCATTTATTGTCGCGGTGGTAAAGTCACGCTGTATATAACGTTGTCATATAAAATTTTTGTCAGCTTAGCTATTGCTTTTTCTATATTTCGCTTAATGGTATTGTGCTCATGTTCTTTTGTTCCTTATAATGATTTGCTTAAATATGAAAACCTGTAAGTGGCTTCTTAAGGGCTTTAAATCATTTAAATGTCATTAGTACTGGCTGTAAATATTCCAAAAAAGTGAAATAATTAATAAAAACGTATGTGTACTTATGAAGCACTATTGCGCAAGTAAAAAGTTATACTTTTTTAGCGTTGTAAAAGTATTTGTGAAAAAGATATAAATGCAATTGACAACGATTTATTTAAATAACTAAGAATTATAGGTAAAAGTAAAAAAAGTTGTTATTTAGTGCCATGGTGATATCGTGAGTTTATCGCTTTACAATCAATTTCATCATGCCGCTTTTTGAATGTCGATGTTATTCTCATAATTTTTTAAAACGCGCCAAAAGCGTTGTAACTTCAATAAATATTTCCACAAAGATAGTACAAGATTATAGGGATCGAGCAAAAATTCTATTCGGAACTTTAGTCTTGGACTACACGAAATGGGATAATTTTGTGTACACCTTTCCTCTTTCGTAGGAGACATAGGATTTAGTGGGTAGAAAACCCCACGTAACCCAATCTATGAGATAGTGTCTTTTCATTTAACTCCCATACGAGCCCCTTCTCGATACGAACACAGAGGTTTTTTTATTTTATTTATTTATTTATTTCATCGTAAGTTACATTGCACCACACAATCTATATAACATACAGTTAAAGTATAATTTAATCAAACAGAAAATAACACTATAGAAATTACTACATTATATGGAACAAAAGAAAAGAAAAAAAAAACAAAACAAATTATTCTGTTACTGTTATGGAGAAACAAATGAATTATTATTTACAAAATGTATGTCAGTAGTAATAGCCGGGTAGTTTGTTAAATTTAAACATATCTAATTGGCGGTAGCTGGTAAAAATTATTTACCTTCCGTGCTAGTCAAAAGACTGTGTTACGGCAAGGTAAGGATTCTCGTTCCAGAAATACTTACTTTACGCTAATTGAAATAAGGACAGTTTTTAACATAGTAGTACATATATATTTAATAAATTATAGTTTTCTTATATATTATGTAATATTTGAAATGTAATTATATGATTATATATTTATTATTATATACATAATTTAAAATATATATGTACATATATATGTATATGTATAAATATATATATATATATATATATATTTAGGTTATTTCAATCAAAGGGTTGAGCGAATCGTCATCGTTTATAAAATTACAACAGCACTGGAACTACATAGAATAAACAATAATTAGTAGTTCCCGTAATTGTAACTGCTTACTCTATCGTGCACGGATTAACGTTTTGAGCAAATTAATCATTCCGCGTAACGAGGGGAGATGAACACGTTATTAGCTGAAATTACATTTGAATTGTTAACTTAAAAGATCGTTGATAGTGGCATTTTAAATATATTTTTTTTAAATAACTATACATTATCATAATGAACGTTGCTTGTGACTAACTAGACATCGGATAAAAGCTTATGAGCCATAACTGTAACATAAGTATCAACATTTTTTATTTCAAAAATTACATTTTTTTTTTCTACTTTTGTAAGCAAAAGATTTACAAAAAAAAAGGATTGTTTTAATTTATAAAACATTCTACTCACTTCTCACCTTATCAAAATTTTAATTAATATTAATTATAATTATAATAGGTTGTGACAGATAAGCTTTTCCTTTGTTTCAATCATATATATTTAACCATTCATACAATTGCAACACTTTGGTGAATCGTCTTTCATGCGAGTACATTGGGGCGGAGCTTTTTAGGTCAATAATAAAAGATGCACTCGAGCGCATTTCGGGTATGAGCTAATCAAAAATAGAGCAAGTATCATAACTCTGGCTGGATTTTTTAACAGGCGCCTACCGATTTCAACCCTCTTAGTGAACACACACCTAGATTCGTAACAATTACCTGTGCCCCACACAAATACTTGTCCCGTTCCCTTGGGAATCGAACCCATGACCCCCGGCGCCGGAGCTAATGGCTAAGCAAAGCTGGTATATGTAATGTGTTTGCATTCGTCATGCCACAACACATCAACTGCATTTGACATGATTCTACTTTTTACACCGGTAAACTTCTCACTTTATTAAAAAAATATGCAGAGCCTGGAGTTTTTTTGGCATTAATATTAAAATACAATCATGACATTTGGGGCATTTTTCATATTACACATAATTATAATTATTGTTTTGTTTAAAAAAAATCGAAACGATCCATTGAAAATTGAGAGAATCGATTAAACGATATCTACTTTCTTGTACATATGTAAATTAATGAACCATGGTGGTAGTATTTTGTCAATCAATAAGTGTGATGCTTCTATATCGAATGAAAAGATTTGAATTAGAATTTGAAGCCAAAAGTAACTCCCACTAGACCGGCATGTGGTTTAATGCCCTCCTGAGAGGGTTCACAAAGCCCAAGATTCATTAATTGCACTCTGGACGCGTGCAAGGAGTCGGGGCGATGTTTAGTCGCCAGTCCGACATAAAAAAGTAAATAAAATCAATTAATCAATTTTAGATACATTTAATCTTGTAAATATTAGATAAATAAAAAAAAGAATAAAAAAACATAATTTATCAGTCATGTGCATCAATATTGTCTATGGGTTTAAATATAAAACTTGGTAAACAAAGAAGATGGTGGATATAAATGATCATTAAGGCGTAATTAGTTTGCTGTTTGTTTGTTATTTTTTGACCAGTAATACTTATAATGAAATTGGTTTCATTATGAGTTATTGAACACGATAACTAGGATATGATTATACGAGGATATCAGTGCATAAGATGTTAAGCGATTACAGCCACCCATGGACGCTCACAGTACCAATAAGTTTCATAGCAACGCTATAGGTGAACTTAAGATCCTTCACTTTACAGATGAAATGCAAAGTTAAAAATATAAAGACACGGCAATCTGCATAAAGCCAAACCTTTCCGTCATGCCTTAAACTATCAGCAGATTCTCCAGTAAAATTCATAAAAGTCGCCTAATTCAATAACTTAAACAATAATTCCCAAAAAACTTTTCAGATTGAATACATAACCAAAGTATTGTCATTATAAATCTTATTTTTATATTATGATCTGATCTTTTTATAGCAACCCCGCTTAACGCTTTATCATGATTAATGATTTAAACAAGATTTTGGAACACTATCGTTAAAAAAAAATTATAGAATGTTTTTTTTAAATCCATTTGAATTTTTTATTTACATTTTTTTTACGATGAAAGAGAATTATATAAGTAAATATGGTGTAAAAGACCTTTTTTTATTAAGTTTCATTTTTAATTTTTAGTGTTAGTCTCTGCACTCAAGATGAAACTTTAAATTATTTATTTTTATAGATAAAAGAATAAAAAATTTCGGCGCAGCGAGATTCGTCTCGAAAAGACCTTATTCAATTAGGTATGTTGATATTTACACCTCGTCTTCTAAATAAAAAACTTTGCAAATACTTATTTCCACATTATTATATTCGGTTACTGATAATATATAACTTTAAATAGTTATATTCTAAACTATATACGACCTCATTTTTGTGAGTATATATTTATTTTAATTAAATTTTTGGCCACTTATATCAATACATATCCAAATACTTACTTTGTTTACGAATAATTTTAATTAAAAACATCTTTTCAATAAGTTTAGAAGTTATAATAAAAACGTAAGATTGTGCTTCTGAAGGAACACCCTATCACTAAGTTAGAGCTCTGCTAACGGAATTCTTGTGGTAACGATCCTTGCTCAAGGATTACTTAGGTCTTTCGTAACATGTATTACTAATACGCAGTGATTCACTTGAGATGATACAGCCAAGTGCTTTGTCTCAGATGAGAGCAATATTAATTACATTCTTCAAAATACACTTTAATTTTTCTAAATGCATTCAAAGTCTTTTTGCTCAATTACGCTTTTCCTTTTATTTATACCTTGTAAGTAAAAAAAAATCCAATGTTGTTTGGACTTTTTGGACAATTTTTTTTGGACTCTGGATTTTGAATTATTACAGTTATTAACAATATGAAAATATTTCTCTACTAAAAATCACCTTGGAACTCTTCAAAAACTGTCAAAATTTAATTTTCTCATTGTAAAAAAAATGCAGATGTTCTGTACAAAGTTTAAAATAATATGAAAGAAACGCGTCAAGATCATCGTTTACGAGTAAACAGGGACAAAACGAAACATAAAATTGTGCTAATGACTGTTAATGGAACATACGCCTTCACCAAACATTTATTGTGAGTAAGCGGCGACAGTTCCAACGCGGTGCCTTCAATTCCAAAGAAACGCCACTTGATATCAAAACTATAACGCAAGACAATAACCGTGCGGGGTGTCTTGAAAGGGAACACTTGTTCTACGAAGTCTTACTCAGTTTTGTTGTCTATTCGGCCGGCAGTCCAAGCTGCCGTATGCAAATGCGACAAGCTAAACATCACGCTTTATAATGGACATACAGGACATCATCTCTCGAAAAATCGTCCTACACGCCTTCGCAAACATTCAAATATTACTTTCCAGTAATGTCCGTTCAACTTACCGGTTTATTGAGAACTTCACTCAAGCATGACTCCGGAGCTTACGCGCGCACCGGCGGGGTGACTTTGAAAACTTCCAAAGTTTTTACGAACTTTTAACACGACGGAACGGGCAAGTTCACGCTCGACTGTAATGTTTGCTTGCGGCTCCCCGCGATTGATAGCAAATGGGAATACTCGACGGGTATGGGTGCGTTATGTGAACTTGTCGAGCGGAAACTTTGGGGCCCCGCGGGCGCCGATCGGACGTCAGCTCGCGACGGGACTCGGCACGGAGTGGGCATCAGTACTGCCGCGCGCTCTACAGCCTCGCCTCACCCGCCCCGCGTGCTCCGAGCGCCCCGTCAAGTCCAACGCAGGCTCTACCGCCACAACGCCTTTGCATCGCCGAACGATTTGGTAAAGGAAATAATGCAACTTTTAAAAAAACTTTTTTTTTACAATGATTTTCTAGAACAGACTGTGTGATGGGAATAAATAAAGTTTCTTCATCAAACGACAAGACAGCGGGACACTCTTTTATTTGACGTTAAATACAATTCATATTAAGCAAGTTTCTAGAAGAATTAGAATTAGATAAGGCTACGGTGAATAAACGCTAACGTTTTTCCATCATCACACCTTTATTATCAAATCTGTTAATAATAGCTTTTCTCTGTAGGTATAGTGTTAAAGAAGCTTATTTGTAATTTAAACGCAACGGACGACGGTGGCGTTTAACAGAGATTTGGCCTTCACTTCAAGCAGGATCGTGCCTCCACGGGCTACGTGCAATGACGCCATCAATGTTTTATCATTTATTATCTCGTCGGCCCAGCTACAAGAACGCAACATGGAATACACTGTGTTTATAAGAACGTAACATATTTATATCCTTAAATATTCGCCTTGAACCTCAAATCGGAAGAGAATTGTAAACGCACATAATATAAAGCTTTATTTCATAATAATGAAACTTGTATGAGTGTTAAGATTTATGCATTGTTTTTGTTGTTATCGAAGTTTTTAATGTAGTATCAAATAATTAATTCATAACATTATTCAGAAACAGAAAAATATATATTACATAAACAGACATATATATATATATATATATATATATATATGTATATATATATATATATATATATATATATATATGTATACTCGTATATATATATATATATATATATATCTGCATTTAAATATTTAATAAATATTATGATCTCTTAGAAGCTCGTTCTTGCTAACGTTTACCATATTTGAATCGTTCAGTCATAGTTCACGCCGCTAATCTCACTTAGGGTAGGTAGAGTCTCTTAAGCTGTGAGTGGCCAGGAATATGCCTGTCTACTGCGGTATTTTAAAAATATGACATATACTTATGACGTTACTTCCGTCAGAAAAAATCTGAGTTACTACCTAGTCGCGCCTAAAGAAGTTTTACTTCAAAAGTACTATTTTTTTAAAACAGAATATCGATTTTTTTAACTATATTTATACTTGTAACATATAATGTTACCTATATGTTGTTACTTAAATATCAGCAACCAATCAAAAGGAAGCTCAGTTACAAACTACAACCAATAACCTTAAGCGCGCAAAATTGATTGGAAGCCTTTGTTGCTGTAAAGTTTAAGCTGAAGGTACTATCAATGAACAACTGAAGGTACCATCAAAAAATCAACAAAAATTTACTGGAAGAGAATGCCAAAAGGCGTTAGCTTGTAATCCTAGTTTAAGTTAATTACAAATAAAAGCATAAATAAAATAAATAAATAAAGATCAGGCTCCATCCCTCCCTTTACTTCGGGGTATATGAGCGTCAGATAAAAAATATGTTACACCAGTGTCCGGTCCTAATTAAATACTAGATAACCCTTCACTTTATCGGGCGCCGTTAACATGACTGATGACTTTAGCCAAAATTTTATTATTTAAAATAAACCCAAATGAGTGTATATTATGGAGGTACAAAATTACTTTTTGAAGTACTACTCGTAGCATTATTCTATTAACATCACTAGAGGCGCGACGTAAGAAAGACAAAATTACCATGTAAAAGTGTATTTTAATTATTTAAGTAGGTACTACTTGTACTATTGTATACTGTAGTGCCTTGACTTTTGTCCAGTAGTTAGTAAGGGTTAAGTTATTTCTACTATTATTACGTAAATTCATTAATAATAGTAATAATTCTTTATTTCAGGCAAAAGCCCATAGTAATATAATACTTTTTCATTATAATGAGTTTCGCGTATATTCTACATATTTTAAAAGAGTTTACTATACAGGGTGGCTTTTCTAAGTATCATCTAAGTATCCATTTTTTTATTAGATCCTAGACATAAATAATGTTATAGAAAAAATGATTAATATTTAAAATCACTCGTAAGTAATTAATTACATTCATTTGTACTTATCTCAATAAGTGTGTGATTTATACGCAACACATTTATCTTACGTGCGATCATTCATAACTAACACGCACACAAGTTCGTGCACAGTAAAATTTAGGTATTTATGAATGACTACCGCATTGTCAACACGTTCTGTTTTTTAGGGAATAGAATGGCACTTTTTTGGGAAAAAAACTTTGTTTTTTATTTCAATAAGAGATTATACTACCGAGTCTGAACCTCTTGTGTAATTTGGGCACTTCTCAAAAAATCTCCCGTATAACCAAAATACCTCTATTAAAAATAATTTCTTATCTAAAGATCATATTAAGAAGGTTCTGTGCTTTACATTCGCACATCCATATCATTCACACCTTAGGAATATATATGAATGGATTATTATACCTTACATTACGTATGTTGCGATCGTTCATAACTAAATAAGGCTACTTAAGCAACTTGCCAGACTATTTCAAAATTCCAACCATTCATTAAAGTTTAACGAGTTTTCCTTTACATCAACGAGCAATTTTGCAATGAAAATGCATTCTATTTAGTTTAGATATATTTAAGTTCTGGTTGGAAATTTGAAATATAATTATATTTTATAATTTTAATAAGCCTTTAATTCAATATACTCGAGCAACCTGAATTCGATCCCCGGTGCCGGCACTGATGACGTTTTTAACTATAAGTGCTGACTTATCACGTGCTCCGCGGTGAAGGAAAACATCGTGAGGAAACCTGGCATATTTTCGAAAATAATAACAAAAAATTAACATTTTTCGAATATATGTGAAGTCCGCCAATCCGCAGTGGGGCCGCGTGGTGGACTATGCCCTGATACCCTCTGTATAGAGGAGGCCTTTGCCCAACAGTGGGACATGTATAGGCTGTTACTTTACTTTTTACTTTTTTATAAGCATATTTGTGTTCAAATCGCCTTGCTAAAGTAACGCCCGATTTCTGGAACCCTGATCAACTCAAACTCTTTGAATTGATCATACGGATCATTAAGAATATAATTCTGATTGATTCCGAGAGTTTAAAGTAATAGTAGTAATAAACATCCTTTGGGCAACTTATATAACATTTGAATAGCCATTTGAGGACTGATTAGTTAACTTCTACGATAATCAGTGTTTTTGTTTTAAAAAACTGGGCGTCAGTGTCCGAGCGCTCGCTTTTAATTCAATGTACTCGAACAATTTGAGCTAAACTCCCGGTGTCGATGATATTATTAATTTTCAGTGTTGAATTGTCACATGTTTAGCGGTGAAGAAAACCGGCATATTCACGAAACAATAACGAAAAAATTATTTCTAACATATGTGGTGTCTGCTAATCTTCAGTACAGAGGAGGCAATGGCTGGGCAAAGCAGCTATTGTATCAGTAAATAAGATGTTATAAAATTAAGGTCGTTCTTTACATCATACAAGGCGTAAGTATCAATCAATTTTAAGAATTTCGCTTCTAATTAAAATAATAAAATAAAACTATTTGAAAGTTGTAACATAAAATTATTAAGTTTTGCTGTTAAACACTTAACAACCGTTTTTTAAGCAAAACTTAGAGACAACAGAGACTAAGAATGATGACTAACGAAGGACTGGGAAAAATTTCTCTGTTTTCCATTAGCAATCAATTTATCGTCGCATTTAAAACCACTGAAAGCGGAGAACTAGCCCAAACGAACTTGAAATATCCATTTGGAAAGCAATAGAATATCAAGATTTAAAGTGACAGTGAAAGTGACGTTTGTTAACAACTGATCGTTTCTTTCAAGGAATTACAAGAACCATTTATATTCTCAACTCTTTCTGACAAATAAGTAAATGTTTCTATACTATAACATTTAAGTGACAAAAAGTCACATAATTTTTTTTTTGCGAATCTTCGAAAAAGATCTTAAGGCATATAATTTAAAGTTCTAAACATGTTATACGTGCATAATTGTTTTTATTGATGGAAGCTTGGAATAAAACATTAATAATTGAAGTCTATGTTAAATTTGAAGCCGTAAGATGACAAAGATGTTGAATTAGGGCATTATGAAGTCCGGTTACACGCAACCGCGGATCGGCGGGATTCAGATTTCTTCGAAATCATTTATTTTTTGTTATCATTTTTATGTTATTAAGAAAATATGCAATTATGTTTATAATATGAAAATATGTTTTTCTCATGTGTCATTGGTGCCGGCACCGGGGATCGAACTCAGGTTGCTCGAGTATATTGGTTGTTACTTTGCGGCCCTGGACAAGATGAAATTAACTAAATACTCCGATGCTTAGAACGAGGTTGTATAAATTATATAATGTGAGAGTTTACCCAAAAATTTGCCTGCTTTACCTCCATCTGATGGTAATTAGTGATGAGTCTTAGGATTTTTTTTACATCTACTGTACCAGATTCGTTGTAGATAGGTTGCCAATCTTTAAATATGTGGACCCAGGTTATCTCTGACTCCTCTCGTCTCCACCAGACGAAACGCGAATGTGTTATACTTTCACCTCACGCCGATCTTCTGCAAGGCCGTAGCCTATTAGTGCAACAACTAAAGCTAAATTTCCGCGCCTAGAATATTTCTCTAGAACCTTCACCGTACCCTCGACAATTCATTCTGCTCCAACAAATACGTAAATGAAGCACTATTTGTAATTTATTTATATCATAAATTGTTTATCTATTTAAAGAACGCTAACATAATGTACACTATTAAGAATAAGGAAATTAAGTATACATCAACTGTTCGTTAGTGTCATTACAATTAAAGGCGCTGACAGCATGCAATATAATGGGCGAAAAAAATATAGTTAATTTTTTTGTTACAAAATCTAAAATTAAAACAAGAGTAATAAAAACACAATTTCAAATTTACGAAATGTATTTGCAGAATGATCTAAAAAAATGTACGTATGAACGTGTGAACTCCCCTGTAATTTAGACTACATTTAGTATAACAGTGTTTATCTATACAGTACTACAACTTAAAAGCATAAAATCGAATGAAATATAGAAAAAAAATTTAAAATATTCTAAATTAAGTATTATTTTTTGTCATTACTTTGACCTGATTTTAACATTGCCAACATTTTGTTTGTCAAGACCTCTTTTTGACTTAAAATCCAGCAACAATTTGTAAATTCTCTTTGTTACGAATGTTCATGGGGGGCGACGATCCCGTTGTCACCTATTTAGACAATGCCTGCTATTTTTTTAAGAATCTTCGGGTCTTTATGAAGTTAAGAAGAAGGTGAACTTCTTATCGTATACATAACAATCACCAGGTTCATCGTAATTGAGTATAATAGTAATAAAATGCTAATGCAAATTTATTGTTAACAGTTATAAATATACATATCGGGTCCCTTTCAGAACACTTCAAAATGAAT